CATTATATCAATGCAGCAAGGTAATATCTTAATGTGGTGACTTTACTGTCTAAACTGTGTTAAATGCCTTTTAAGGCAGTCATATGGTAGCCCAATTTAAAGGAATCTGTCAAAAGTTCCATGCAAATATGCACAACCGGGCATGAATCTGCGGTAAAAGTTAATTAGGCCCAGAAAACTTCTTAGTTGTGTTAGAGAAATTAATATGAGGTGTTATCTGACGGTGTCCACTTCTTCTTCTATCGGCGTAATTCCGTAGGGGATTTTTGTATGTCTGAGACAGTCTAGAGCTTGAACACCGAAAACACACTTTGATGTATGTTCATTCAATTTTCATCCGCCCACCTTAAAACTGCTCTCATGCATTGTTCGCGTGATTTTGAATCCCAACCGACAATTAAAAAATAATTTACCTACCCTTTTAGAAATGGCATATAACGAAGTAAGTTACCTATAAATCTTTGAAATGTTTGTGCCGTATTTCCAAGGCGGAATGGCATACGCACAAGCTCGAACAGTCAAGAAAGTGTGATATTACCAGTCTTAGGGATTTTTCCCCCAGCTACTGCGATATTGTGATACACACTGACCAAGCCAATTTTAGCAAATATGTTCATGCATCGTAGGCCATTCGTAAAATCTTGGATATGACGTATTGGGTACCTGTCTGGCACTGTTCGACGGTTGAGGGAACAGTAGTTCACGGATGGTCGCCAATCGCCTTCACTTTGGTCTGGAACCGTGTGTTAAAGGGATGCAAATTGGCCATCAGAGGGACGGATAATATCCGGTTGTAGAATGTATTCAAATTCAGTTCTGGAGATTTTGGCTTACTTGATGCTATATAGAGGAAAAGCATCAAGTTACATGAAAGAAGTTTGCACATGGAGGGTTTTTCATACACTTTTAAAAAACTTCCAAAAGGGATATTACGTCTTCTTCTGTGTACAGCTCTCATGACACCACATTCCGATGTATCACAGTAAATACGTCATCTCGAAAGCATTCAGACTACAATATTTCAGTACACACTTTTAGGGTGCTTAGACTTCGGATTGCCGCTCAAAGGTTGATAAACTATAGGCCTTACGGCGTACACGTGGTTGCGAACCATCTTAAAAGAAATTCTTGCATCCTCAATGTCAAATAAAGCAACTCGAAGCATTGACTATCAGCCAATACATTAAGACGTACTTGGTTACATACAGATAAACATTATTATCCCTTCGTAACGAGGCTGATACTTTGACATTTGAGACTAGCCTACTCGATGAAACTCATCAGAGCTACTTACGAATTCCTCACTACTATAGAACCTCTGGCAAAGTAACCGATATCGTAAAATAACGCATGGGTCGACATAAATATTAAGTGAACTACATAACGATCTACAGCTACTAGCGCAGATCATCAATGTAGGCAATCTATGTGGATGGTCAGGGGCCTGCCCGGGGTGACCAGAAAACTGTTGAAGTCACACCGCGAAGTTTTTACCTAACGTGGATTACCGTTCCGCCGTATCCAGGCACTATATCTATTTGGATAACCATACAAAACATTATTTATTTATTTATTTGAACACATAAATATTGGTACAAAAGGAAATCAAGCACATGTGTGCCACATAATAACAATCAGAATGTAAAGAGATTGAGAATGAAAAGTATGTATAAGAAAAAGGAGAACAATAGAGAACAGAAATTAATGTATGGTAGCGAAATGATAATGGGAGAAGCAGTTCACTTGGCAAATGTACAAGCGAAAAGAATCCCAGTTAAAGAGGCTACGTCCATTTTTTATGAAGAAAGTAAAATGAAGTTACAGTATGATCGCCACTGGTTTCCATTCTGAGCCACATCTTCTAACGTCTTCAGTCACTGTGTTGCACCATCTTAGGAACTCAGACAGGGAGTCGTGAAGGTCCAACAGAAGCCAGCCCTTTTTGCAGCTTTCTTTCACACCACGGGCCTAGACAGACTTCATCACATAACAGTTGTCGTTTGTGACTCAACTCCAGGCCACTTAGAGTAGACCGACAAACTTCAATGAGTTGTAAGGAGACTGAAGAAACCCAGCGCTTATAAGCCACAAGCGGCTTGACTCGCCATTTTCATGGAATCATGCAGTTGCAGCCAATACCCATTTATACTTTTCGGTGGGATGGTAGCTAGCCTTAAGCCCAGCCCGGTTTGATATTTGGTTGCAAAAGAAACCGCAGCCAGTTTACTGGCATCGAACCCTTTAAGACGATGATTTCATCGGGCACTGAAATGTAAGGTAAGATTAGGGCAGATAAGAGCATGATCAGACTCCAGGTAGATACTGCAAATGGAGCAGTTGTCCTGCACACAACCACGTCAGCGGTAGCTGATTGCGATGTGATCGGTCTGAGTCCAGGCTTGAGATACAGAGAGAGGGGGCTAGGTGTCACATCGGCGATGAATGTACCGGAAGTGAGTACTAGCCAGAAATAGGTTGTGGTCCTTGCACAATTGCAGCAGACGGTCCGCGTTATCTGCCCTGTGACTAACTTGTCCCCATCGGACACCTAAACGAATCTCTTCTGTGCATTCAAGTCTCCACCTAGTACTACAATATCTGATGAACTCACTTGCTGTAGAAGAACTGTTTACTGATGGTAAAACGTATACTCGATGACATACTAGTTGCAATCTGTAAGAGAATAGGTAGAGGTGACGAAAAGACATCATTTCCCACACCGATTTCTTCGTGCTTTGATGGAACATTCTAATCTGACAGCCCATAACCGACTGTTAATGGGGATCCAATCGATTAGTGCTGCCTCAGCTCTAGCGCTTAGCGTGACACCAACGCCAGCAAGACCAGACAAAGATGCCATAGGATCCCCGGATAAACGCACGTAAAAATAGCCTTTTGAAATGACGTATGTAGAGCTAAGTTGTAGTACATCATAAAAGTCTTGTATACGGGTGTCGGATAGACAACAAAAGTCCACTTTAAGACTTTCTAAAGACATAGCCACCTCTATCTGTTTCCCGATCTGCATTAGTATGCAAACGTTGAAGGGAGCCAGTTTGAATGGTATAGGTAGTTTCAGAAAGACTTTTTCAGTATTCGTATTCGGTTTTTCAACTCCTCTTGGTTGACCCTCCGTGTCCACCAACACGGTTAAAGCACCGGGCATTCGCTTTTCGTCCTCTCAATTTCTTAGACAACAGTAATGTGGCGAGAAGGTAGTGAGTAGAACTTCCTCTGACAGTAGCCGTACAAGCTTGGCCATGCAAGGGCATTTCAAGAGGGAGAGCAGACTGTCCTCGCCGTCGGCCATACCAGACCATTCGGGGGCACCGTACAACACAAGCAAATCTAATACAAAGATATAATAGTAAGAGTAAGTACAAGACCACTACCGCATGGGTCAGTCCATGGTTCGCAATTAATTTGTGAGCGTTGGTCGTCCTTGACCTTGAAGAGGATCGGGAAACTGCCCGGTATTCAGTGATATTATCGCCGGACGATTTTGAAAGGGCCATGCCACTTCACTGGCATCACAATACCCCTTCACCAAATTCAGCCGGCTTTTGTATCAGTCTCAAATGCATTGGGAGTATTCGCGCGTCGGAGGTTGATGAATGACTTTTCGGGTATTGCCGAGTTGAAAGAAAAACAAAAACGAGAATGAGGTGACCGTCCAGGATTGACGAATAATGATAAACAAGGAATGTTGAATTTACCAATGTACCTAAAAGTACGACCTGCGGTTTGGTCGAATGTTCAGAAATTAACGATGACAATGGTTTGTTTGAAGCAAATGAGACTAGTTTGAGATACAAGAACTTTGCATTGTTTAAACGTCTTCAGTGAATCACTTGGTGGGACTTATAACCACAAGGTCACTTGTGGTTTGTCGGTGTAGTAGCGTTGCGAACCGGGTTTATTTTTATTGTGGTTAAATTTATTGATGTACTTAAAGTGTTTTCAATATCGTTTATTCATACAGCGTTCTTTTTCAAGAAAAAATTCATTTCTCGGTTAAGACAATCTCGTATTGATTCCTTAATATCTGCTTCTGCTTAAATATTCTGATGTGCTACAATGTCAAGGTATAAGCAAGTTGGGATCATCAGATGGCCTAATACTATTTCGAACCTTATCTAAGTTTCATTCTTTTCTGGTCGCCCATCCGCTACTATTGTTTTTTGGCACAGCGACTATATGTAATGATTCAGGTGCAGACAAACTACTCTGAAATCGATAATCAGGTAGTCTAGTTTGAAGGTATTCGCTAAGTCTATGTTCAATGTGATTAATGCCCGGTCATGTACTTACACACTCTGTCTGCTCTCTGTAGTTTTTTATGGTTCAAATTTTCAGGGTCTGTCTTTGGGTGACCAAGTTGATTCACCCCAGGGCGACAGACTAAAATCGGCCACGGCCTCTCATTTTGTTGTTGCTACTGTAAAACATTTTACATGGGTTAGTTTGGCCTTAGAAGTTTCGTAGCTGCAACTACCATATCGCTTTTAAATTTTCACAATATTGGATACCAAAAAAGACTGATTTTTATCCATCCAACAGATAGTTTGATCTTTGACTGGCGTTTCACCTAGGTTAAGTAGATGGATAGATTCAGTAAGTCTTTAGGCCAATATATTCGGCTTTTTGACTGTCTGTTTTCAGTGTTTAGTCATCTTAATTCTAAAGCTACTGAAAACGTTTTGCTCACTTTAACAGTCGGAAAAATATTCCTTATACGTTATAGAACCACTAATTTCTCAAAAGGTGTTTGATGTTTTACAAATAGGTTGTTGGTGAACTTTCCTCGCCCTCCGATAATTTCCTTTGCTAACACCTCTTCGATCTAACTTCGCACGTTTCTCTTCAGTGAATAGGTTTTTGGGTCAGGGGTTTGTAATGAGGCGGTCATCGGTTGTTTTAAATGCAAATACTTGATAAAAAATCGACTTTATTACAAGTTTGCTCACCGTATTTGTGGTTTCTTTTGTAAAGGAGGAACGATGCACAGTTCTGCTTTCAGCCATACCGAACCTATGACTCTAGGTTCTCCTCCAATAAACTCAGTTGGTACAGGGTCAAGTACTTCTCCGGGCACTTGCCAATATCTTCCAGGATTTTTAATGAGTGAAAATCCACAGATCTTAGAGACGGTATCAACAAGCTCAGAGTCTAAAGTTTCACGCCAAAATGCATTTTCATCACTTTCTGGAAATTTACAAAATATACCAGTGAGTTTCTCAAGGATTATGTTGAGGGAGTTTTTGTGGTTGTATTATGTATGTAATATCTAAACTCACATTTTAGTGAGTATAAGCACCTATGAATTACTCAGATTTCATGGTGGTAATTGTTCCTAATTCTAGGAATTGAATCTGATCAACATGTTTTTTGTTATTTGCTGTGTTTGGGAACAGTGCATCTGTGTCTTGACAATTGAATGACAACCCATTATATTATAGTCCAGAGTCATGGAATAAAACACTCTAATAATATAATGTATATTATAAGTAAACCCGATCTTATTTTTTGTCTTGTTTAAATAATAAAGGTGTAGTTAAAATTACACCACTCAATAACTTTGTGTTTTGATTGGTCTCGTATTCTCTAGTGAAACGGATTAGTAATCGTCACAGTTGTACTGTGACCCTCCATGGAATCGTTTTTAAGAAGCGCATATTATTCGTCCGCTTTAACGAGTTTCAATGAACTCGGGAGATGCAAAGGTGATCAGATAAGAAAATAACACAATGCTACGACCTTATAAGTATCCGAACAATATTACTCTGTATCTTTGAAGTGTCAGCACAATCCGACCTAAGGCCTCCCCACGGTGCTGCTAGATAGCAGGGGCAACTATATTAGCTCCGAAGTATAACCGGTCGTCTTAACTACTAAATCATAAATTAAAAACTATTTTTGACAACTTTCAGATAACTAGATGATTTCATTGATCTTTACATACTATGCATAATTTACAACGTCTAGCGTTTTAATGGGTTCTGAGAGTTATGAAATATTAAATCCTGTTGAACGTGATTGTTGAGACAACAATAGTTGTTGATCAGATAAATACTGGCACATATATTCCACATAGATCGAAAATAATATTTATAAACCATATGTTAAGAGTCGTGTTTGCAGTGCTTCTTATACCTGAGCTATGACTGGTTAGTAATGGTAATCTAACAAGTAGATCACAAATTTGGATCCAGTTGATGCTTAAAAAGCTATCTATTTTTCGTGGTACTCTTCAAACACTAGATGTACTTCATTCGAACAAACTGAATCCGTATTTAGATTGATGATATATGTCCTACTGAACTTCTTTACCATCAGTAAAGTCGTTATGTAGTGATCCACTATCCATAAGCTTTTTGATTGTATTTCCAAATCACTTTTCTTTGTTTCGAATTGTAAGCGATTCGGACCAATCGATCTTCGCATAGTTCTGATAGGGATCTATTTTAACTGAGAAATTACAACTATGAACACTATCTTTTACATCTTTTTTCATATTATCAATCGATCATTCATCCGGTTTCTTTATATATTTTTCTAGGCTTCTCAGTATAACAACAAATTGCAACCACGCTATTTAAGTCAAGCACATGAGTCAATTGGACGTCGTTTAACATCACCTCCTACACGAAGTATGTGGTCAGCCGTTGGTGGTGCTGGTGTCCGTACAAAGCCTAGCTCAGACAATTTCGGTGGAATAAAACACAGTACACCAAATTACACTGTTGGTTCATCGGCGAATCCTCCTGTAAAACAAATAGGTGTTAGTCCTTTTCAATCGCCGGGTGATCCTAGTTATCATCGAACACCTTTGCATAACGTTGTCAATAATCGCCCACCTTTAGTTGGGTCACCACTCCATAATAACAGTATTCTTGTAAATCTAAACGATGGGAATAAGAAGCAAGATGGTATTAGTACACCTGATCGTTTAGCGGAGGCTTTGCTTTCACATCGAAGGTAACCTATTTCTCCAAACATTTTTCTCATTTACACACGCTTATTCAAATGAGCTTTGTGGGTAACACGCTACTGTAACGGAAATGATTTTAACCATGAAAAATTAATAACAGTTTGACTTTTTTCTCAAGTAATTTATATTAGCTCAGATAAATGTCGCTCTGATCAGATTCTCACTTTTTATGCCATAAAATGTAATCGCTGATTCCCGGTGGCATATTCCTTGATATGTAGTTAAAAATATATTATTTAGAAGGTTTTGTCAGTACTTGTTACTGTCAGGTCTACACTATAGCATGTCCGAAAACCTGCAGACATCGAAAATCCCCTTTGTTTTTTGTCTTACTACTAGTTAGCACCAAGAACCACAACCATCTATATCTCTATTCGATTATGTAGAGTATCTTTATGGAATTAATTTGTCCCCTGTTATTTATCCATCAAAATAAGGCGATGAAATAGTCTCGCGAGACACAATCTAATAATTAATTGATATAAACCTGTACCTAATTGGTTTACAAGGAGTCAATCCGTTGACATTCTTCTGTTGGTCCATTTCGTTTACTAGTGACGTCTATCTGCTTTCCAGGTATTGAGTATTCAGCTTGAAACTTTCCTTTGTAGATTATTTATAAAGTCTACTGTTGATGTATGATAGTCTTTATGTGAACTGGAACCTATCTCGTAAATTTTGTAGATTCAATCGTAAATGGTTACATTTCGACAAGTAAATCATTATGCGCCTATTATGATGTTTAGTCCCGACCGTTGCTGCTACTTTGACGTGGTGGTCGGGCTTACCTATCATGATGAACCAGTCGAGCTATACTGGCTGGAACAATCGTTCCTCAAGGTCTTACCATGCCAGGCAGGTCGGTTGAAGAGAAAAGAAACTGAAAGCAGCAAATCCAAGGTCCGAAGGCGAAGTCGTACTGCTGACTGTACAGAGGTGTGACAGCAGTAAGGTGTTTCCTTCAGACAACCAGCATGACAGCGATGCTGCCCTCCCACAAGGAGGGGTGGGGTTAGTAAAGGTCGACCCTAAAAATGCACACCTCTCCTTATCCCACGGATATTCGTCTCCGACGGTAAGGTCCCAACAAGTACGGAGCTAACACAAAAACTACCCACAAAAAGGTCGTGTGTGACCGACCTCAAGAAGTTGTCCTTTTTGCACTGTGGTCACGCTCTCAGGTCATTAAGACCACTTCTAACCCAATTTCCTTTTCAGGTACCCCTTGAAGAACCCTTCCACGGTGTGGGCAATCGTAAGTGGTAACTGCCCTTATACCTCTAACAGCACTCAAGAACACTGATGTTTAGTAGCTAATTATTGTTCATACACTTAAGTACTTCATTTGCCGTAAACTTTCTAGTTGATTACAATACAGATAAAGTGAGATATGTAACAATGAGTTCGAAAAGATGATATTGTCATCATTCATTACAATAATTGAAGATTGACCTAATCTGTTTAGGAAACATGGATGATTTCTAAGCAAGTATTGCTAACTGTTATTCATTTAACTTTATTATTCTTTCCTATTTGTTTTTTTCATGCTTTTTAGTCCAAACGATTTAGATAATGCGAATCCACATGATTGTTGGGTAACTGTTTTCGGGTATGTTTGCCAACTATTTTATGTATCCTTCCCTATGTTAACATTATTATAGTACACATTTCAGGTTACTCATGCCTAATGTTATAATAATAAAAACACTTTATATGGGAATATTATTATTAATAACTCATTTCCAGGTATGGATTCATGTACCTGACTTCGAGCCATGCTTTAATTGTAAAGGTTAATAATACTCTCTAGCTACCCAAACCGAAGCAGCTTAATCAAGGTTCAAACTTAGGGATGTGTTAATTCCTAATTTGGACGTAGGAAGTGAAGTTGTTTATTTTACCAAGAAAATTTTATTTTTAGCAGCTTACTGACTTACGAAATCCCATCACTCTTAAAAGAGTTCATGTACCTTTTGCTAACTTGAACCGCTTGTTGCATAGTTAAGATATCCATTTACCTGTCAACAAGCAGAAATGCTATGCGATAGTTCTCTGTATTATTTCGGTACTTCAAAACATTAGCTTTAATAATTTAGAACCTGTATGGCTTGCTCGTATTTAATCAGAAAAATCTTCGAGGGATGGCTCGTATATGGTAAGTAGCTCGTAGGTTAAACGTAGACTATTAGCTAGAGATGGTACACCAATAAACCTTATCATCTGAGGTAGCTAGAACATATTTTATGTATGCCCAACTAGTTACCTCCATGAATACTGTTGGGTGGAGTAGTAATATGTTGGAAGAAAATAAGAGGAAGCTAAACCAAGACGTGGTATCATTCCATGGAGTCGTCAACCACTGAACTGAATTATGTTGGTAGATGCAGATTACCTGATTAGGGTCTGGGCGTTAACCGTTGTCATTGGTTTGAGGGTTTGGTTGACATGGCTTAGAATCGGTCGGAGTGGTTTAGATGCATTTATTATATGGTGTTCATTTTGATAATTCTAACTCGTTATGTTAGCATGGTAGGAGAACTTAAGCTTGCGCAGTTTTATGCCAGGTTCTACGTTGTTTGTGATTGACTGGCTGAAATGGTAGATGAATACATTTAAGCAATAAAATGTAACCTATCGTAAGTTATCTCACATTTAGTAGGTTATAATTTATGATCTGTTTCATGTCAAAAACTCAAAAATTTTTCTTCTATCTTGTCACGACTTTAATTTAGGTTCCCTCCATCACGAGCTGCATTTATTCTTAACCAGTTCGCTCAATTGGGTACAATAGAAAAACATGTGGTCAGTGTGTGGCTTTATATCTTTTGTGTTTTAAATTATAGTACTTATTACGAGTCAGTAGCATAACTCTTTAATAATCAAATCAAATGACTATTTAAGCAATCTAAGCTGTTTTTTCTCTCCCAATTACCTCTCTGTTATAACTGAACATTGGTCGATAGATTTTGTAACTGAATATAAAATTAGTATAAGTCAAGTGATTTTGATTTGGTCAGCCTATGAATATCTAAAAGTAAGAATAAAACGTTATAAGACGAGAGCTCTTGACTCAGCATATACAGGGAATAAGATAAAAGCTCAGAAGTGGGAACAGGTTCCAGATTATTTAATGCAGAGAGTAAAAGAAAACAACCAGTCGGTTATTAATACTGATAACTCAATAGCACATTGTAACACATAATACTGACTGAATAAGGTGTTTTGTAAAGAGATTTGTGTAGTCTGAATATGATTCGTGTAACAAACTGCAAAATGGGCAAATCGGATATTTCTTTCTGTTTATGGGCTCCTTTGCAATGGAACGGTACAGTATAATACATGGTTGAGCCTAAGAGCCACATGCAAGTTTCGAAACATTTACTATACTTTTAGATCACTGTGTCGGATTCCTGGACCGAATGACATGTAAAATTGTGGGTCTATATTGTTTCAAAATGCCAAAATATTCTATTCTTTATTTCTTCAATTCCGATCAACTTATGATTTCTTACGAATTTATTGTTTTAATTGTATTCAGTGATAAAGTACTTCTAGACAAAACTCGTTTTCACATTTTCAAGAGTTTAACACTCGAATCACATTCGATCAGAATTCTCGTACATATTTCATAGTGATTAAATTTACTTGTGTTGAATGAAGCAAGACGAGTGTAATACGGCTAAGGTTTCAGAGTCAATCAATGAGTATCATCATTGTTATAATTATCTATCAAAGAATATATATAACACGATACCAAAATTCTCATATCTAAGTCCATTTTTTCGACAATCATAATAATCAAATTCAACCTAGTATTGTTTGTTTGAATCTTCCTTTTGATGTTTAGAACTGCAACTGTTCAGTCTCTTATTGACATATGTGCATACTGTGAGTATTGCCTCGATATAGCCTAAATTCACAAGCATGGTAAGCAAAGATGGACTCAGCGGCCGAGTGGATAACGCGATGGCGTTTGAAGCGAAATGTACTGGGTTCGAGTCCCAGAGTGAACATTAACTCTGAGATGCAGGTACATCCAACTGACGAGTCCCAAATAGGACGAGACGCGCATCAAACTGGATTCCACTGCTATCCACTATCCATCTTTGCTTACCAATCATAATGATCCTTTAAATAATCAGTGATAATCATTTTCCACTCATTACTATCCAACTTCAAAATATCTAGTTTATCATCATTGTACCATCTATTTCCATTTTTCTCCTTCAAAATTTCTTCTAGATCACAAACAGTGGTAATTGGATGCATATTAAATATCAAAATAAAATGCAAGCTCATTGTGCTTTAAATAAAAATGGCAAAGTATTCGGGGATAATACCATGGTCGGTGTATCAGTCTGTACCGATTCTGTAAGGGTGAAAATGTCTTTTAATTTTATATATATATATATATGTTTGTGTTACAGAACAAAAAAAGGTTCTGCCACATCTCGTTGTGCTAATGAGGTATAGCAACTTGGACCGATGCATATGTGTGTCTGGTTCTACGTTGTAGCTGACTGACTAACTGACTTGTGTTGCAGAAGTTTTACGTCTATTTTGTGAAGTTACTTTCAATAGTATCAATCATTAAGGTATATATTTAACTTTGTCTTTGGTTCATACACTTTCGACTCCTTATTAGGGAGATTTATTATGAATATAGTGGTCTTGAGTGCTATTAGAGGTATGAGGGCAGTTATCACTTCCCGGTTGCCCACACCGTGGAATGGTTCTTCAAGGGGTACCTGAAAAGGAAATTGGGTTAGAAGTGGTCTTAATGACCTGAGAGCGTGACCGCAGTGCCCAAGGGACAACTACTTGAGGTCGGTCACACACGATCTTTTTGTGGGTAGTTTTTGTGTTAGCTCCATACTTGTTGGGACCTTACCGTCGGAGACGGAAATCCGTGGGATAAGGAGAGGTGTGCATTTTTAGGGTCGACCTTTTCTAACCCCACCCCTCCTTGTGGGAGGGCAGCATCGCTGTTATGCTGGTTGCCTGAAGGACTCTAAGTGACATGGCTCAGAATCGATCACAATGGCGTAGGTGTATACACTCTTTATCTTCCCTTAAACCTTGAGATTAAAATTGCTTCATATCTTTCTTCCTGTACTATATCCTTATATACAACCTTTTTTATATATTACCACCACTAAATTAACTATTTCTATGAATCATCTTGTTGGGCTAACGAGGTGTTGCAACTTGGACCGATGCATAAATGTGCTTGGTCCTACGTTGTAGCTGACTGACTGACTCCTTACTAAACAGTTAGTACCCTACAAGTATAGATTTAACAAGTTGTTACGTCCTTGAATCTGTCTACCCACTTAGTGCGGAGTATAATGTAGATTAAGACCTTGACACGATAGACTGACTGGCTTAACCTTGAGGACAATATGCGTGAGTTCGAAATAGGGGTAGAGAGACGAAAACTATTCTGTCCCTGATTGGCTGGCAAGCACGAGAGAGAGAGAAGACAAGACAGATGGAACACTAATCACTTTATTCCAACCCGATCTAGCACTCGAATTCCCAATTCAGATTAGGGTGAAAAGTTACATGAATAAATAGATGACTAAGCGGACCACAACGTACAATAATTAGAAAAATACAATCATGTCCAAAACTGGGGAATTATAGTAGGAAATAGGGTACAAAAGATTACGTCTAAATGACAATAGCTTTAGAACAGAAAATGCTATGGCAATGAATTATACATCAAACGAAAGCTTATGATCTGTAGAATAGGCTAGGGACAAAAGTAAATGTTACAATTTTACAAGCTTTGAATTAAACGAATTAACGTCCCCAAAAATAGCTTCCGTAATTTGTTAAGGCTTCTTGTTTTGCGGTTCACATCATCTTCCCCCTTGACGAAAAAAAAGTTTTGTTAACACTGCCATTGACTGCGTGCATAAGGGAAACTGGACGGCGTTGTGGTCATTGTAAAAGAAAAAGGACCAATTTGGTTAACTGGAAGGAAAAAAAAAGAAAAGCGGTTAGTCACTAATTACAAACAGTAGCTAATATATCATCGGTATCTCCCCCCGGAAAAGTATGCTCCTTTCTTTGGGTCCATCTGCATAATATCAAGTCCTTTGCGTTTCTGTCGTGATCTCCCAATAGGATGTTGTTGAGGTTGAACAGTCTTCTTAGTTGCAGAATTTTCTATGCCGAAACTGTCCAAGGAAAATTTCCACATTGAGCACGGTTTCTGGGCTTTCTGTGAAGGTGAGAATCGGGAACGACGATAGATTTTCCGCTTTGCCCCATGATGGCGATTCCATTGAGTTCCGATCTTTCTCACAACTATTATGGGAGGAGCCCAGTTTGAGTGATTTACTGGCTGAACAACACCTAGTGCTTCAAACCTTTCAAGTTCTTGATCAACGACTGACAGAGCAGCATAATTTACTGGTCGTTTGAGTCTGAAAATGGGCTTTGTATTTCGCTTTCGTAGATTATTTGCGTGAGATGCAGCCGGCATTTTAGAGGAATTAAATGCATGAGATTTTAAGACCTTATGATAGCATACTTTGTTCGACGAATTTGATGGAGAATCATTTTGTGAACATGATCCATCGGAGTTATTGGATTTAACATCATTGTGAGAACACATTAAATCGGATGTAATCGATTTAGTATCATGAGAACACATTAAATCGGAGGTATTTGATTTGACATCACGATGAGAACACATTAAATCGGAGGAATTCGATTCAGAAATAATACGAGAACATTTTACATCAGAAGCATTTACTTCATAGACATTAGGGGAACATGACACACCAGAGGCATTTGATTTAGAAATATCATGAGAATTTTGGATAGAATCAGAGCAAGAATCATGAGAACATACTTCATTTAATAAACTATTTAAGACATCAATCTTCTCAATCCAGTCCAATCCCAATAGATCTAAATCATGCCGATTTGTTAGATAACAAACGTCAGTGAATTTATGTTCCTTGAACTGCACGTTGCAGGTGACTTCTCCAGTTAGCTTCACTATGTCGCCTGAAGCATTTCGAGCAACATGCTCTGTTGGTCGGATGCGTGGGCACCCTAGCTTACGCCATGTGTTCTTGGAGATCAGCGTAATGTCGGAAGCAGTGTCTAATTGAAGACGAATAGGTTTTTCATTCACTAATAAGTTCACATACTTCCGTTTACTTTGAAATCCCACTTTAAAAGTTGCAAATGTGCTTTTGACTTGACTCTGTAGCTGTCGCTTCACATTTACGCCACGATGTTTGAACTGACGTCTATCTGATGAGCAGTAACCTTCTTTATGACCAATGCGATGACATTGGCGGCATTTTTGGTTCTTAAATGGGCATAACTTCACAAAGTGCCATGATCCGCAGGACCAACATGGTGATGGTGGTTTACCAGAAGGTTTCTGTGTGTTCGCCGTCTTTTGTTTGGAAGGTTTGTGAGATCTGCATGCATTTATTGATGCAAGATTGGAAGTCTTTGCATTTTGTTGTACCATCGTGGAATCATGTTTAAGATTTAACAACCGCTGACACTCGGTTGTGACCATTTGCAGGGTCATGTTAGGCTCCTGCTCAATGCGTGATAGAATTCTGGTACGTATGTCCATATCTTCCGGATTCTTTAATCCACAGATAAAAATCAGACATTTAAATTGATCTGCTGTAATTTCATTTATTCTAAAACGTTCGCATTCTTTATTTACATGTCCAGCGTATGTAAGATAATCATCAGATAAGGATTTAGATATTTGAAAACACTGATAACGGATGCTGAATAATGAGGATTGTTCACCAAAAATTTGGGACAAAGTTTGAACTGTCTCATTGAATGATAAATCTCGTGGATTTTGTGGCAAAATGAAATTTACATATTTGTTATATTCAAGTGTTCCGAGTCTTCTCAAGAGTAGGCGAACTTTGGCTGCATCATCAAGATTCGAGCATTCAACACGAAATGTGTCTTCAAAACGGCGAAACCAGGAATCGAAAATAATACCAGAATCGGGATCATAATTGAATTCACAAATAGAATTTGCGATGCTGGCATATTTATCTGACTGAGAATTTGATGATGAATGAAATGAGAGCTTCTGCATCAATGCATCTAAAAGCTTCATTTGGTTTGCGTCATTCTGAGCTTGCTGGATTTGTAGAATAGTTTTAAGGTCGTCCAAAGAAACAGACGTACAATAATTAGAAAAATACAATCATGTCCAAAACTGGGGAATTATAGTAGGAAATAGGGTACAAAAGATTACGTCTAAATGACAATAGCTTTAGAACAGAAAATGCTATGGCAATGAATTATACATCAAACGAAAGCTTATGATCTGTAGAATAGGCTAGGGACAAAAGTAAATGTTACAATTTTACAAGCTTTGAATTAAACGAATTAACGTCCCCAAAAATAGCTTCCGTAATTTGTTAAGGCTTCTTGTTTTGCGGTTCACATCACAAGTTTTTAATGTTATCTTTCATTTTGCTTTTATTACTTTTTCATTATATGTGATAATTCTATTCTAAGAGTTTAACTGAAATTGAAATAATTCTAGATCTATTTTAGGATGTTATCGTTTCACTAAGTGACATTGTTCCGACCCTATCAAATAGAGACATTATCATGTTTTTTCAGAAAGGGTCTAACGTGGCACAAATCCATGAAGTCACTGACAATTGGACTGAGCCATGCCGGTAGGCGTACACTAACTGGTTGGGATTCGCGAAATGATAGCAATCAATGGTTAGAGACCTTAAATGACATGGCTCAAAATCGTTTGCAATGGCAAAGATGCATCCATTCTTTGTGTTCTGTCAAATTCGAATCTTCTGAATTCTTCATGTCTCTATCTTTTTTCTCCTTCCAAATCTATTTCATTGAATTATACTCCTTGAATAACATCTTCAAAGTCTAATCTTTCCGATTACTGCTTAAACTCTTACTACTTCTACCACTATGGGATTTGAATCGACAACTGCATCTCTGTGCTAATGTGATATGGCAAGTCGAACTGATGTACGTACGTACGAAGTTCTACGTTTTGACTGACTGACTGACTATTTATTGTATTTTATAGTTTTTAAAATATTCTCGACTATTCTCCCTTATAAGTCTTGCAAAACGTGCATTGCTCACGATTCTATAAACTAGTTTGTACTATGACTTTTCATTGGCGGTGTATTTCCAAGAGATATATTCCAGAGTTTACAAATAATTATAAATCTGGTACAATTAAGTCACCAAGGAAAGTATGCGCCAGACAGAACAAGAAGACAATATTATAAAGAACACTATGAGGGAATAGGAGTACAATAAAGATGACTAAATAAGAACAGTATATCATGTGATTGATAGTTTAGTTCGAAATGTAACCAACAAAAATCACTTTCAGTTAAGATAGTCCGTCCCACTTTTATGAAGAATGTAAAAGAAAACTTACTTACTTACTTACGCCTGTTACCCCTCGTCGAGGAGCATAGGCCGCTCACCAGCATTCTCCATCCAACTCTGTCCTGAGCCTTCCTTTCCAGTTCTTTCCAGTTGCTATTCAGCCTTTTCATATCGGCTTCTATTTCCCGGCGTAGTGTGTTCTTTGGCCTTCCTCTTTTCCGCTTCCCTTCCGGATTCCAAGTTAGGGATTGAGTCGTGATGCACATTGGTGATTTCCTTAATGTATGTCCGATCCACTTCCAACGTCTTTTCCTTATTTCCTCTTCAGCTGGAAGCTGGTTCGTCCTCTCCCATAAAACGCTGTTGCTAATAGTATCCGGCCAGTGGATGTTCAGTATTTTGCGTAGACAACTGTTTATAAATACTTGTACCTTCCTGATAATGGCTGTAGTAGTTCTCCACGTTTCAGCTCCATACAGTAGGACTGTCTTGACGTTCGTATTAAAGATTCTGACCTTGAAATTGGTTGAGAGTTGTTTTGAGTTCCATATGTTCTGCAATTGTAGAAATGCTGCCCTTGCTTTGCCAATCCTTGCCTTTACATCTGCATCCGATCCTCCTTGTTTATCAACGATGCTCCCCAGGTACTTGAATGTTTCCACCTCTTCCAGAGTTTCGCCATCAAGTGTGATTGGGTTGGTGTTCTCCATGTTGCATTTGAGAATCTTGCTTTTTCCTTTGTGAATGTGGAGGCCTATCGATGCGGAGGCTGTTGCTACATTTGCTGTCTTCATCTGCATTTGGTAATAGAAAACTACAGTAGAATATTACAATTAGCTTCTATTTTGAGTCATGCCTCATAATGCTTCAAGTCACTGAGTTGCACCACCTGATAACGAAGAGTCTTGGTGGACTGACAGATGCCAATTCTATGGAGCTTTCTTTCATACCACTATGTCATGTCATAATTTCAACCACCTCTCCATTTTTCCTACCCAATCTTATTGTCAACGAATAATTCCCTATGTGGAAGCCTCCGGGCTCATATTGACAACATATATCTAAGCCATCGAGACCGGTATCACAAGATAATGACACCAGATGAATTATCATTACCACCCCCGATTATGCATTCCCATGCGTCAATATATTACCTCCAAATCACCTTGGGTTGTGACTAAGTGAGTAGAAGAGGTCAAATAGTGGGCGAAAACAAACCACCAGTAGTATTAAATCACAGTACATATTTATCCATCAATTCGTAGCTTATCTATCTTAGTATCATACTTTTCTGGTATTTTTTCTATGTCATTTTCATACTTATTTCACATATTTTTTCTCTTATTGATAGCAAGTTATGGATGATGATAAGTGTGGTTTGTTTTTGAAGCAAACAAACCCATGTAGTGTAAATGATTCCTTATTCCTTAGTCCATCAAATGGTCATCATAATCCAATGAATATGAAACGTACTATGGATGAAAACTGTAAAACAACAACTGGTGCAATGAATAAAACACCGTTACGTGATTTAAGCGGAATAAGGTCGTTGAATGGTGTCGGCGGTGTTGGTAATGGTGCGACCAGTTCTGGCACTGATTCTGCTAATATTTTTACAGACAAATCAGCAAACAATATTGGACGACATAATTCCATGCGATCATTAGCTGCATCTTCACGACCAACTAATTTATCACGAACTACAAGTGTAAGTCTCATTATTGAACTGTTACTAAACTTGCATAATTTAAATCACAGACTGATCCAAACTAGATTGACTATCATTGAACATGAAGAAGGACTAAACAGGTGTTTCATCTCAGTGTAGAACTCCTCGCTTCATCTATGTTTAGTTGCTATTTGGGACTTTTTTCTTGGTGGGATCGTTTGTTACTTTCAAGTCCAGAAAGATGATTAATCTAAGTTGCCTTAAATTGTATTTGTCTTATCAGATTTGTATCCAAGTACAGTTTTACTCAGTATTCTCTCTAATAGATTGATCCTGTTTGGATGTCTAAAGGAATTTAATGGCGATTGTATCTCTAAAAAAGTAATTATTTCATAGATAATATTAGTCAACCAAGGACCAAGATAACTGACCTACCTTTTTTTGTCCTACTGTAATGAACAAAAACGCGGGCGGGGACAATCGAATGTCTTAAAGCAAAAATTACAGACTATCTTTAAATTCTGATAACCATACAGTAGTAAACAGTTAATTTGCAAACGATCAATCAATTGTCTCAATTTTAACTGTTCCTTTTGCAAATATCAGTCCATCTTCTCTGATTTAATTGTTCATGCATTTTCATACCGATTGCGCTTCATTCCTGTTCGTTCCTTATCGATCTTCTACCAAAATACATTCTATGTCTAACCATCACCATATATTATTTATATGGATATAAGTAGACCACACTACACTACTTCATAACTTTTCACTAATTATTTATCTACTATATCAAAACCCACTATTTTGATATACGTTTATTCTCTGAGCTGGATGATTTGGTCATGGAACTTTTATCATCCTTCTGATGATGTTGTTCAGAAGAACGATAAAAGCTCCACGACCAGATCATTCAGCTAAGAGAACAAACCTACATCAAAATCACCCACCTAAACTACAAATGTTCTCCACCATTTCAAAACCCACTATGTTTTATACCTCCCATTAAAAATATAAATTTCTATATTATCATTTTAGTTTTGTTAAAAATAATGATTATTGTGTGTTTTCTCTTTCTTTTCTCTTCATATTGAATAGGTTCGACAAGATAGAGATTCTGGATTATTTTCTAAGGCATTAGGTTATATGTTTGGTTGGTCATAGAATAACCAATCGAAATATATATTCCTATTTCATATATAAACTAATTTTGTTTAAATGTATCTTTTATTGTTGTTGATCCATGTGTCTCCACTATACATACACCATAAGTTCCCTTTTTTTTTTTAAAAAAAAGGGTTATTGTTTCACCATTTGTGAAATAGAAGTACTCAATTATCTTTCTACACCAATTTTTTTTGTTCAAAAGGTTTTATGAAGTAAAGTGTATTTGATATTATTTGTTCGAGTCTTAATTACTGAAAAAAGTAATATGGTTTAGATATTGTCTATATGATTTTTAAAGCGGATACAGAAGTCTCATCTAGCTTTCGTTAATTTGCGTCATTTATGGCGTAGGCGAGATATCCGTCTACCAATAAAAGGACGGGTTTACTGTACAGCAGTTTGTTTCGTCCTACATTATGGCAGTGAAACATGGCCAGTAAGAGTAGAGGATATTCGTAGGCTACTAGTATTTGATCATAGATGTCTTCGAAGCATTGCTTGTATATCCTGGAACCACCGGGTAAGTAATGTAGTTGTTAGGAAAACGGGTACTACGTCAGTATGGCAAATCGATTGAAGTAGTGAACTTTCTTCAGTTGAGATGGCTGGGACACATGCCCAACCACTGACTGCCTCGACGTTCAATGTTTTATGGCGTAGGAGTAGGTTGGAAGAAAGCAAGGGACGGCCAGATCAAAACGTGCCACAAATCCATGAAGTCACTGACAATTGGACTGAGCCATGCCGGTAGGCGTACACTAACTGGTTGGGATTCGCGAAATGATAGCAATCAATGGTTAGAGACCTTAAATGACATGGCTCAAAATCGTTTGCAATGGCAAAGATGCATCCATTCTTTGTGTTCTGTCAAATTCGAATCTTCTGAATTCTTCATGTCTCTATCTTTTTTCTCCTTCCAAATCTATTTCATTGAATTATACTCCTTGAATAACATCTTCAAAGTCTAATCTTTCCGATTACTGCTTAAACTCTTACTACTTCTACCACTATGGGATTTGAATCGTCAACTGCATCTCTGTGCTAATGTGATATGGCAAGTCGAAATGATTTACGTACGTACGAATTTCTACATTATGACTGACTGGATTATTAAAGCACTGTTTACATATGTTTGGATTATCGTAGGACAAATATTTAGGTTATATCCATAGTATTCTTTACTTTTACTTACTTAGGCCTGTTACTCCCAATGGAGCGTGGGCCGCCGTCCAGCGTTCTCCAACACATTCTAAGTCCTGGGCCTTCTTTCTAGTTCTATCCAGTTTTTGTTCATTCTCATGTTGGTCTCTATTTCTCGGCGTAATGTGTTCTTTAATCTTCCTCTTCTCCTTTGACCATCAGAATTCCTTGTGAGGGATTGCCTTGTGATGCAGTTGGGTGATTTCCTCAATGTGTGTCCTATCCACTTCCAGAGCTTCTTTCTCAATTGGAACTTAGTTTGTTCTCACCCAAAGTGGCTTGTTACTGATAGTGTCTGACCAACGGATGCGAAGTATCTTGCGTAGACAACTATTAATAAACACTTGCATCTTCTGGATGATGGCTTTCATAGTTCTCCACGTCTCCGCCCCATACAGTAGAACTGTTTTGGCATTTGTATTGAAAATTCTGATCTTGGTGTTGGTTGACAATTGTTTTGAGTCCCAGATGTTCTTTAGTTGTGAATATATTGCTCTTGCTTTGCTGATCTTCGCCCTCACATCTGCATCAGATCCACCGTGTTCACCAATGATGCTGCACAGATATGTAAAGGTTTCCACATCCTTCAAAGCTTCTCCGTCAAGTGTAATTCGATTGGTTCATGTTGTATTGTATCCATAGTATTAGGCAAATCATTTAGTCAATAATGTGAATCTTTATCGACTGAGATGGTTGAAACATGTATAATATTTATGTCCTATCATGGCCTAGCTCAACTCGTAATGTTTTCTGGTCTAAGAATAGGTTAAAAGAAAGGGGTGATCAAATCAAGATATGTCATCAGTCAATGCAGTCACTGTTAAACTGAATCATATAGCTAAATGTAAGTCACATGGTAAGGATCTCCACAATTATAATAAATGGTTACAGACATTAGGTAACACATGACTGAGAATCGTAACCAAGTTGTTCTTACAGCATAAGAAGACAAATACATTTGGACAATATAAAAATCATCGAACAAAGATAATGCTAAAACCAAGTCCATTAGTCATTAATATGGAAAAATCCCTAGGGTTCGTGTATTTTTTTTCGTACAAAATGACCATCTAATTAATTACAGTCCGTCTTTTTTTTAACGCTAGAGAATTTTTAATTTAGCTTTGTATCAAAGTTTTACCTAGTATGTATGGGTTTAATAGTGCAATGCTTCGTCGCTCAGATAGTATTACTTTAAGATATTCAGATCAGCAGTTAGAATTCTGTCAAATACCGTTCATTACTCGACTCTAATCTATTTTACAGTCGTAGGGGGGTCAAGCTGTTGGAGACAGATGAGAGGGAACCCTGGATCTAAGTTCCTTAGATGTTAGCGCTTGTCAGCAGTTCGTACCCGCGGTTTTGGGATTGTTATTGCCCTATATGGTATTCGGACCCGCACCACCAAACTTCAGTCTGAGATGCCACTACTGAACCAACTAGGGCGTACTTAACGGTTCATTGGGCTGAGATATTTGCATCAATTAGTGAGAGTCCTAACCAGTGATTTATTTACGTAGTCCTTATGGTTGACTGGAATGTGGCTACTAATCTAAGTAACCTGACAACGAATATAATATTTTGTTAGATGTTCGGAGGTAGGCTCCTAGTTACTACTCAATGATTAGTCAGTATAACATCATGACATGGTTCACGCGAGGCTGAATCACTTAGACTGGTGATCACATTACTACTCAATAGACAATTCAATCGGGACTACATAAACATGATACTGAACATTATTACAATCGATTGATCACTGGGTGGTGATCAATGTCATGTGTGTCAAGTCCTTCTTAGTGCTGATCGAATGCTATCGATCAAGTTGCAATGTGGCCACCAGTCTAGGTGGCTCGACACTACTTGCACTATGTATATTGAGGTAAGATGGTGGTTGGAGGTGGTCAACAGGAAACCCTGCACCCGGGTTTCGTGCTACTTGGCACTCGTCAGCAAGGTGTACCTGTAATCTTGAGGGAACTGATGCTCCCTGACGGATTCGATCCCGTGTCACTCAGCTTCACAGTCAGAGACGTTACCACTGAGCACGAAACCCGGGTCCAGGGTTTCCTGTTGACCACCTCCAACCACCAGCTTACCTCAATATATATAGTGCAAGTAGTGTCGAGCCACCTAGACTGGTGGCCACATTGCAACTTGATCGATAGCATTCGATCAGCACTAAGAAGGACTTGACACGCATGACATTGATCACCACCCAGTGATCAATCGATTGTAATTGCATCTCAGTCCTACAGGACATAACAAATGTTTCTTAGTCATATAAAAGAATATTACATGACTTTTACTTCCGTTGAATATGAGACCTGGAGAAAATGGAACTTGACTAGTTAATATGTAATACGTTTCCTTACTTACTTACGCCTGTTACTCCCAATGGAGCATCGGCCGCCGACCAGCATTCTCCTACCCACTCTGTCTATCTCTGTTCTATCCAATTCTTGTCCATTCTTCTCATGTCTGTCTCTATTTCTCGGCGTAATGTGTTCTTTGATCTTCCTCTTCTCCTTTGACCTTCGGGATTGTATGTAAGGGCTTGTCTTGTGATGCAATTATGTGATTTCCTCGAAGTGTGTCTTGTCCACTTCCAGCGGATACGTTTCATAGTCATTGCGAATTAGCCGTGAAGGAACTGTATACCTCTAGTAGCATTTATTCAACATTTCTCATTCATTCTTTTCATTCGCATAATGTTTTTGTTGCCGAAACATTTCAAATATAAGCTACAGAAAAAAAACTTTTAGACTTAATTTGATACAGAATAAGTTTTAACACATTGACTTCATGTGTGTATCAATTTCTATTTGATACAGAACTTAAGTGGCACCTTCAATAAATGATGAAAGTAGATAATTCAGAGAAAATTTCCTTTTTTTGACGGTTTCATTCATTTAAACTAATATAATCCTTTTTCATAGTTGAAATCATGAATCAATTGAAGCTAGACCACCATTGAAAACCTGGAAGCACTGGACGGCCACTTCGTTCTATTATGGGACTCCTCAGAAGTGCGCATTCACAATCTCGCCGTCCAGTGCTTTCAGGTTTTCAATGATGGTCTAGCCTCGAATGACTCATAATTTTAACTATGAAAATACTAAAATCTCCACAAAATCCCCTCTGATCTATAATATAATCCTATTAATAGTGAATTTTATTTGCTAAAATTATATTCTATAGTAAGGATAGAATGGTGTTAAGTATTTAAAAAAGCTTGGTGGTATGTTGTTATGATCTGAAAATCAGATATTGAAAGGAAGTTATATAATAATGGACTAGTGCAATGTTGTAAAGTGTCCCCTTGATATCTATTAAGAACTGAATTATTAGAAGTTAAATTGACTAGATGCTCCAAGACTGAGCTTTTGACTGACTTCTGTAATCCTTTGGGTAACCAAGAGGCGTAATATTCGGAGATGCGTTTCGAAAGAACTCTCTTTGTGCAGTTTGTATAACTTACTCCACATGAACAAGTAAACTGATACATGCTCATTGATCGAATGAGATATAGACATTTGGTGAAAAAAATACTTGGAAATCTATGATAATTCATTTAGTATTGTTTGTATTGTTCAGTATTGTTCAATTGACTCATGATTTCAACTTTGAGAAATACTGAAATCTCCACAAATCTAGGTTTTCTATAGTTGTTTAGCTTTAATTGATTCATGAATTCAACTATATAAAATTACTAAAATCTCCACAACCTACCCCTCCCCTTTTCTAATTACGTTTATCCTTCATCCTAATGAATCGATTTAATCTACAACAACTGT